CACAAAAAAAAAAAAAAAAAAAAAATTCTATACATATGTATTTCTGTGTTGCTTTTACTGCATACAATAGAACTATGAAGTAACCTGTTTGTAAAAATTGTTGCTACCAGTCAACAGGAATGTTTTAATTTTAAGAAATTATGACTTACAAATAGATCTGTAAAATTCACAGTTTCCCCCCATTTGAAAAGATCAAGTGATTACTAGTACCATATCATATCAGTAACTCAGGTCAAATGACAGAGGAAACAATAACACTTGATTCTAAGGTAGAACTTAAACTTGTAGATTAATACTCTGATAGGGAATGTTAAGAAAATTACAAATTGAAAGTCTGCGAAAAATAGACCGAATACTCAGCATTATAAAATGAAGTAAGAAAAGGAGTTAAGAAGCATGCAGGCTATATTCATACTGCTAAAGTAACACATTTTTAACCCAACTGCTTTTTATGTTTCATTATTGACATTATTTACATTTCAAGCTGCAAATACACAGCTTTATGGACTGCCCTGGATTTTATCCAAGTGCCCATACTTAAGGATCAAATGAAAAACTTGGTATCTTAAAGTTCAGAAATATAACAGAAACAACAGCAAATAACAAACAGTAATGAAAACATTACCTCCTTGTTGCAGGTAATAAGTTTCAAATAAACTGCTTTATGTTCCATTACACAAATGTATTACTTCACTGCTTTACTGATAAAATCAGAAGAAAGCCTTGGCTCAAAAAATTCTTGGCTCCAGATTGTACTATATATTTTTGCTATTAAATAAATGTTGATGGCCGTTCAGGTGAGGAAAATTGATAGTACAGTTCTCACTCCGACATGTGATGCTGTCAAGTCATCAGGTTTGAGTTGGCAAATTCAACCAGGTGTATACACTATATTTGATGCGACGACTTTATTTTTTATAACACGTCAATGTTTACTTCTGCATTATCTAAAGATATAAGGAAATATCCTTTCATATTGATCCCCCTTAAGGACCAAATGATAATAAATCCCTGTTTACAAAAGCTGACTTCTTGTTCTATATCACAGACACACCTGATAATGTACAGTACATTTGGCTACGCAAACTGTCTCTATAGAACACACATTCAGCCTCAATATGCTCTTTTCCATTACAAGCACTTAGCACGAGTTTTTAAAGTCCATTTTTTAAGCCCACTTGTCAAACAATATCTGCTGACTTAATATTAAGCATGTCGTAAAAACATATCCACCGTGGGAGGCATTAAGACACTGATAGTCAATGATATTTCCTCCAATATCATTTACTTAAAGAAGCATCAACCATCAGCACTGCCCACAAGATTTAAACACCATACTTATTTCATAATTCTATTTTTTTCAAGATAAATTGTTTCACTCTTTAGAAGTGTTTCTAGACAGGCGCCCACCTACTTTTTAGGATATTCAAATGATAATTACTATCTTTTTTTCCTATTACTAACAAAAGAAGTCGTTCTGGGAAAATAAAATGTATACATGTACATTTGTTTGATCCAATGATTAATTATCACAGGCAAATGTAACATCAAAGTATTCAGGACCATGAAAGTTGACAAAATGATTAAAGAGCTCTTTACTACTCCATCTAAACTCCACTAAATTTCAGATTTGACAATGAAAGGGATGGGCATGGACCTGTTTTTTTTTTTTTTTTGTTGTTGTTTTTTTTGAAAGGGGGGGGGGGGGGCGGG